AGCCGATGTGGTGAAGCGACTCGAACTTTTGGCTCCTGGGGTCGGGCTTCTTCATGCAATGGTGCACGAGCCTCATGCCGAACCTGTTGATCAACGTCTTCACGGCCGCGTTGTCTTCTGACAGGTTGACAGTTTTTGCGACGTCTATAGCCATCGATTTCATGATGTCTGCCTGCGAGATCATGCGCTGCACTTCCTTGTTACTCGTGAGCTTAAGCCCGAAGTCACCCGATGCAAAGAGGTTCTGAAAGTCGCCCGATGCATACTAGCTGTCGGCGCTCATCATTGCCTTTACGCAATCAATGCGGAAGGGAATGCAGCCCAAACCATCCGAGCCGATCACTGCATCAGCCACCGCCGCCAAGACGGGGCCCTGCACACTGCGCGGCTTCTGGCACGAACGGTTGAAAGCCCGAAGCTCCTTCAAATTCGGTGCGTCTGGTCCACCAGCGAGCTTCCTCGCAAACGTCGCCAAACTCTGGATCTCTGAAACGAAATCTGGATTTCTGGATTGCGCTTTTGTTATTGCCCTACCCCACGCGACGTCGGGGTCCAAGATGTCGCCCTCCTTTTTATTGGCTTCGAAGTTGGCGACGATCTTCTGCACGTCCCCGTGCATCTTGAACAAGGTCCCCCACCTAGTCTCATTCATGGAAACCTTCTGCGCAGCATTTCCAGACTCCTGATCGAACGCGGCTAAAGCCAACATAAATGCGGGGGGGGGCGGGGGCGGGGGCAATCGAAAAGTTAAAGGGTGGGCCATCGATTTCACAAACTTAAGCGGGTCCTGGAGCAAGTCTATATTGGCGCCGAATGCGTCTTCAGCCTGCCAGACAAGCACGTCCCATTCAAACCCCTCCTTCGCAGCATCTGCCAACGTGGGGCGCTTCAACCCGATCTTGTGGATGTCAAGCTTCCCGTCGGTACCGAACTCGACGTTATCTGAATCTGTAGGGCTGCCAAACTGAATGCAGCGGGTTGCCTGGGTCGTGTGCGACTTGCTCACGCTAAGGATTTTGATCTCGCCCTCGTCGTATGGCGGCAAGAAGCCGTGGGATTCCTTGACAAGGTCTCCGTTGAACTTGAGTGCCTCGGCGTGGCGCTCGTGAGATGGGGGTGGCATCTCGATGGCAAAGGGCACGCCCACCTCATCCATGCTGAACCCGTCGCTGCAAAAACTGCGCACCATCGTGCGCACGTGGGATGGAATTATGCCATCGCCGTACCTGTTCCGCGGGTGCACGGCCACGTAGCGCCCATTCGTTTTCTGGCGCCTCAGCAGACCCTCCTTCCGCAACAATCGCACCGCCTGGTCGCGCAACTGGAGAATCGGGGGGCAATGGCTGCACGTGTACTCCTTGATGATGTCGAAGATCTGCTCCTGGACGCGCTCCACGCGAGCCTGCATGGTCTCACCCGCCATGGCGTGGCCCAAGCCCAATGCGAGAAACGCAAGGCGGGGGCTGCGCTGAACGCAACTGAAGGGTGGCTGACACCTTTGTCTGGGCCAGCGGCAGCTCAAATGCATGAAACAACTATTGATTTCGCAGCATGCCTCCCACGGCGCCCGCGCAATATTCCAGATCGGGCACCAAGGTTCTCTTAGGGTTTAGGGTTAACGACATTGGCGTCACAAGTGTTTTGGGCGTCCTGTTCAGCGCGCGCGCTGTTATATATATATATATATATTGATTGAAAATGCATGCCCATACATGGCGTTAGTTTGCGTAACTGCAGTTATGTGGCACTTACGCGCCACTTATGTGGCACTTACGCGCCACTTATGTGGCACTTACGCCACTTACATAAGTAGCTCGTAAGTAACTTACGCTACTTATATAAGTAGGCCGTAAGTACTTATACGTAGGCCAAAGTACTTATAAGTACTTACGCTACTTATAAGTAGGCTGCCCTACTTATAAGTAGCTCCTAAGTAACTTAGCTACATATGAGCTACTTACACTACTTCTGAGCTACTTACGAGCTACTTACACTACTTATCAGCTACTTACGAGCGACTTAGGAGCTACTTATAATTGGCGTAACTGCATAAACAATAAAATAAATAAAAAAAAAAAAAAAAAACAAAAAGAAAAAAGTACTTATAAGTACCCCCGCCGCGCGCAGCTGGAACCCGTTTCGGTTGCCGTTTCCGGTCGCCGTCCTCCATTTCAAGGGGCACTTTTTCGGAAACGGTGAAAAAAAACAACGGCCCTGCCGTTTCCGGGGCCCACTAAGCCCTGGGCCCCCCCACCGAAGGGCCCTCGAGTGGACGGGCTGGGGCCCTGCTCGAGGCAGTCGGCGCCCCCCTGCCGCCACACCGCAGCCGCGGACGCTCCCGAGCACCCCCCCGCCTGGACGCGGTCGGCTCCTGCTGCTGCGCTGAGGGGCAACGATAAGGGGGGGACTGGCCCAGACACGATCGCGTCGCATAAGAAAAATCAGGACGGGAGGTTTCGGGGCGAATTTTCGGCACCACCCGGCAAGCCCACGGAAAACCCTGCGCCCCGCGCCCCAAGGAGACGAAGCCGGCTCCGCGCCAAGCCCACGGCAAAGCCTGCGCCCAAGGCAGAGTTTGCCCTGGGGCCCGAGGCGGCCCGCAAAGACGCGAGGCCGCGCGTCGGAACGAACGGCGCGGCGACAGATGGTGAATTCAACCTCCAGGCCAGAGCACGGAGGGGGGAGAAGGGAGGGAGGACCAGCGCCACCCTGAAATCCGGAAGGACACACACACAACACACAACACACATGACACACACATGACACACACACACACACACATACACAACACACAATTCAAACACAACACACATACACACACACGCACACACGCACACACACAATTCACACACACACACACGCACACACACACACACACACACACACACACACGCAATACACACACACACACCACGCACACCCACACACACACACAGACAAAAAATCGCCGATCCCCGGGAAAATCTGAGGGACAACGAGCATCCAGGAAGTAAGGAAAATACAAGGGGGGGGGTCCTGGGATTTGTGCCGAACTATTCGCTCGGGTGTGTCCCTGGGCCTTAGTGGGCCCTGGAAACGACAGGGCCGTTTTTTTACCGGTTCCGTTTTGCAGTTTTTTGCCGGTTCCGACGCCGTTTTTTTACCGGTTTCGTCACCGTTCTTTTACGGGTTCCCGCTCCGGCTCCCATCCTGGAACCGTTTCGGTTGCCGTTTCCGGTCGCCGTCCTCCATTTCAAGGGGCACTTTTTCGGAAACGGTGAAAAAAAACAGCGGCCCTGCCGTTTCCGGGGCCCACTAAGCCCCGGGCCCCCCCACCGAAGGGCCCTCGAGTGGACGGGCTGGGGCCCTGCTCGAGGCAGTCGGCGCCCCCCTGCCGCCACACCGCAGCCGCGGACGCTCCCGAGCACCCCCCCGCCTGGACGCGGTCGGCTCCTGCTGCTGCGCTGAGGGGCAACGATAAGGGGGGGACTGGCCCAGACACGATCGCGTCGCATAAGAAAAATCAGGACGGGAGGTTTCGGGGCGAATTTTCGGCACCACCCGGCAAGCCCACGGAAAACCCTGCGCCCCGCGCCCCAAGGAGACGAAGCCGGCTCCGCGCCAAGCCCACGGCAAAGCCTGCGCCCAAGGCAGAGTTTGCCCTGGGGCCCGAGGCGGCCCGCAAAGACGCGAGGCCGCGCGTCGGAACGAACGGCGCGGCGACAGATGGTGAATTCAACCTTCAGGCCAGAGCACGGAGGGGGGAGAAGGGAGGGAGGACCAGCGCCACCCTGAAATCCGGAAGGACACACACACCACACACATGACACACACACACACATGACACACACACACACACACACATACACAACACACAATTCAAACACAACACACATACACACACACGCACACACGCACACACACACAATTCACACACACACACGCACACACACACACACACATTCACACACACACACGCAATACACACACACACCACGCACACCCACACACACACACAGACAAAAAATCGCCGATCCCCGGGAAAATCTGAGGGACAACGAGCATCCAGGAAGTAAGGAAAATACAAGGGGGGGGGTCCTGGGATTTGTGCCGAACTATTCGCTCGGGTGTGTCCCTGGGCCTTAGTGGGCCCTGGAAACGACAGGGCCGTTTTTTTACCGGTTCCGTTTTGCCGTTTTTTGCCGGTTCCGACGCCGTTTTTTTACCGGTTTCGTCACCGTTCTTTTCCGGGTTCCCGCTCCGGCTCCCATCCTGGAACCGTTTCGGTTGCCGTTTCCGGTCGCCGTCCTCCATTTCAAGGGGCACTTTTTCGGAAACGGTGAAAAAAAACAGCGGCCCTGCCGTTTCCGGGGCCCACTAAGCCCCGGGCCCCCCCACCGAAGGGCCCTCGAGTGGACGGGCTGTGGCCCTGCTCGAGGCAGTCGGCGCCCCCCTGCCGCCACACCGCAGCCGCGGACGCTCCCGAGCACCCCCCCGCCTGGACGCGGTCGGCTCCTGCTGCTGCGCTGAGGGGCAACGATAAGGGGGGGACTGGCCCAGACACGATCGCGTCGCATAAGAAAAATCAGGACGGGAGGTTTCGGGGCGAATTTTCGGCCTCGGGGGGCCCTCACCAGGCCTCGGGACCGTCCAAAAACGACTCAGGACGAGAAACCGGTCCCGGGGAAAGGATCGGGACTTCCCGCAATGAGAAAATCAGGACGTCGCATGTCTGGGGGCACAAAGGGCGGACACATCGACCCGGCATCGGCGGCGACAGGGCCGCCGACGGTGAATCCGCGCGATCCCTGTCAGATCGGATCGGGGCTTTCGGATGGGCAGGTTTTGGGGCTGTCGGATCGGGCCCCCCGTCAGCGATGAATGGGCGATGAGGGGCTGATGCCGCCCCCCCCCCCTGTGCCTACAGTCGGCCCTGCGCCTAGCCCCCCACATCGTTGCCGCTGGCTCCTGCTGTGGCTCCTCCGGGGCGGAGGGGGCGGGGGCAGCCGGGCGGCGGGCGCCTGGGCGGTCTGCAGCTCCCCCTGCAGCGAGTCTGCGCGGCCGGTCGCGGCCTGCACCTCCGCGACGAGCTGCCCACCGCCCTTTGACTAGCCGTCCTTGGGCGCGAAGAGGAGGCGGAGGATGAGCCTATCCTTCTTCCTCCTCACTCCTCCTACCTTCCTCCTCCTGCTTCCTCCTCCTCCTCCTCCTCCTCCTCCTCCTCCTCCTCCTCCTACGCCTCTTCTTCTTACTCTTCCTCCTCCTCCGCCTCTCCTCCTCCTCCTTCTCCTCCTCATCCTTTTCCTCCGCCGCCTCCTTCTCCCCTCCTCCTCCCCCTCCTCCTCCGCCTCCTCCTTCTTTACTATTAACGACTACCAATCACATATGAAATCCGGTACTGTTATTCTGATTCTGATTATTACAATCAACTGCTCGTATCATTATCATTACCATGATTATTATTGTTTTCCTTCTCCTCCTCCTCTCTCTCCCCTCCTCCTCCTCCTCATTATCCTTCTCCTCCTCCTCCTCCTCCTCCTCCTCCTCCTCCTCCTCCCCCACCCCTCATCCTCCTCTGCCTCATCCTCTTCCTCCGCTTATCATTGTTTGTCAGAGTAATAGATCCGTACGTTTACTGCTATTTTTGAATGTCTGACATGATCATCTGTAGTATCAGTGTGGTTGGTATGTTTACTTGAACTAGTATTAGTAGTTCTACCATCGCAACATTAAGGTGACGTGTTCGGAGTAGTCTTAGTATTGCTACTATGTCTTGGCATTGATCTTAGTAAGATGATCCGTATTCGCAGTAGAAGTACTAACAGTATTAGTATGGCTACTACGACTACGACTACGACTACGATTACGACTGCTACTACTACGGCTACTACTACTACTACTACTACTACTACTACTACTACTACTACTACTACTACTACTACTACTACTACTACTACGAACTCCTACTACTACTACTACTACTACTACTACTCACTACTACTAACTACTAACTACTACTCCTACTACTACTACTACTAACTACTACTCCTACTCCTACTCCTACTCCTACTCCTACTCCTACTCCTACTCCTACTCCTACTCCTACTCCTACTCCTACTACTACTACTACTACTGCTGCTGCTGCTGCTGCTGCTGCTACTACTACTAGGAGGAGGAGGGGGAGGAGGAGGAGGAGGAGGAGGAGGAGGAGGAGGAGGACGTCGACGAGGTATGTAGTGGAGGACCACGACTGGCTCCCCCACCTGGCCGCGCCCACCCTGCCCCGCGCGCTGCAGCGCGGCGGGGCGCGAGTCAGGGAGCGCGCGGGCGGAATGGCGGGGCAGAGGACGAGGAGGGCGGAGGAGGCAGGCGAGGAGGGCGAGGCAGGCGAGGAGGGCGAGGAGGCGAAGCGGGCCGAGGACGAGGAGGGCGAGGAGGGCGAGGAGTCGAGGGGGGCCGAGGACGAGAAGGGCGAGGAGGGCGGGGAGGGCGAGGAGGGCGAGGAGGGGGAGGAGGGCGAGGAGGGCGAGGAGAGCCGAGGACGAGGAGGGCGAGGAGGGCGAGGAGGGCAGAGGGCGAGGAGGGCGAGGAGGGGCTTCGACGGACGAGGCGCGCTGGGCGGCGCGGGGCCTGCCACTCCGCCTTCTCCCGGGCGGCCTCGCCCTGCTGCCGCCGCAGCGCCTCCGCGTCCCGCTGGCGCTCCAGCCGCTCGGCCTGGCGCGGGGCGGCCTCTCTCCCCCTCCTCCTCCTCCTCCTGCCTCCTCCTGCATCCTCCTGCCTCCTCCTCCTCCTCCTCCTCCTCCTCTACCTCCCTCCTCCTTCCTGCCGCCCCCCTCCTCCTCCCGCCTCGTGCTCCCTCCCCCTCCTCGTCCTCCTCGTCCTCCTCCTCCTCCTCCTCCTCCTCCTCCTCCTCCTCCTCCTCCTCCTCCTCTTCCTCCTCCTCCTCCTCCTGCTTCCCGAGAAGAGAAGCGAGGTCCCAAGCAGCCGTTCCCAATGTGCTGCCCGGACGGACGAGCGCCTCACGCGGCGGGCGACGGTGCCTAAACAACTACCGCGGCCGATCAGACAGACGCCGCCTTGGGCGAACACCTTTGTGAACAAGACAACGCAGTCGCAGGCGGCGCCAGGGCAGAGGAAGAGGAAGTGGCAAGTTGCGCAAGCTGCAGGCAGGTGCGGCCGGCCAGGAGGCAAGGGGGGTTCTGGAGGGCGGTCGTCAAGTCGGCGTGTGGGTGGTCGTGCTGGTGTAGGTCGCGCTGGTGGTCTTGGTCGTGCTGGTAGTGGTCGGGCTGGTGGTTGTCGCACTGGTGGTGGTCGTCCCGCGGTGGGCGTGGGGGTGGTAGCCCGCGGCTGTGTTCGAAGCCGTCGTAGTGGCCGCGGTGGTGGTCGTGCTAGTGGTCGTGTTGGTGGTCGTGCTGTTACGTGGTGGCCGAGGTGATAGTGATGGTCGTGGGAGACCTGTAGGTCAGTGGTCGTGGCAGGCGACCGTGCAGTGGTCGAGGCGGCGGTCGTGCAGGTGGTGGTCGTGCTGGTGATAATCGTGTGCTGGTGGTGGTCGTGGCGAGCGTGGTGAGGGTCAGCGGTGGCATATTGCCCTAGCGCGCTCAGGAGCATCTCTGCGCTCCCAGTATGGAGCGTCACAGAGATTTCGCTGTAGAGACTGCTCCCCAGACATGCGACATCCTGTTTTGTTCCATGCGGGGTCCCTGGAAGTCCAGATCCTTTCCCAGGGACAAATTTTTCGTCCTGAGTTGTTTTTCTGTCGCTCCCGAAGCCCCCGGCGAGGGCCCCCCAAGGCCGAAAACGGCCCAAAACCTCCCGTCCTGATTCTGTTTACGACGCGAGCATGTGTGGGGAGATTTCGTGCCGGAGACTGCTCAGGAGCTCTGGGCGCCCTTCGTCACCCACGCCGCCCCCGCAGCTCCGCACGACGGCGGCGGCCTCCTCACAGGGCCACCCCCCGGCCTCGAAGACCATGGGGACGAGCTCCAAGCCCTGCCTCGGGAGGTACCGAGCCCGCTTGTTCTCGACCTCCTCCTGCCTCCTGCCTCCGCTTCCTCCTCCTCCTCCTCCTCCTCCTCCCTCCTCCTCCTCCTCCTGCTCCTGCTCCTCCTCCTCCTCCTCCTCCTCCTCCTCCTCCTCCTCCTCCTCCTCCTCCTCCTCCTCCTCCTCCTCGTCCTCGTCCCTCATCCTCCTCCTCCTCCCTCCTCCTCCTCCTCCTCCTCCTCCTCCTCCTCCTCCTCCTCCTCCTCCTCCTCCTCCTCCTCCTCCTCCTCCTCCTCCCTCCCTCGTCCCTTTTTCCTCCGCCTCCTCCTCCTCCTCCCCTCCTCCTCCTCCCCTCCTTCCTCCTCCCTCCTCCTCCTCCTCCTCCAATCCCTCCTCCCCACCTCTCCTCCTCCTCTCCTCCTCCTCTCCCTCCTCCTCCTCCTCCTCATCCTCTGTCCTCCTCCCCTCCAACTCCTCCTCCTCCTCAAAAAAACAATCCTCCTCCTCCTCCCTCCTCCTCCTCCTCCTCCTCCTCCTCCTCCTCCTCCTCTCCTCACTCCTCCTCACTCCTCCTCCTCCTCGTCTGTTCCTTTTCCTCCTCCTCACTTCGTCCTCCTCCTCCTCGTTCCTACTCCCCCTCCTCCTCCTCCTCCGCCTCCTCCGTCCTCCTCCTCCTCCTCCGCTCCTCCTCCTCCTCCTCCTCCCCCTCCCCTCCCCACCCGCCGCCGCCGGCTTGCCAGGGCACGCCCGAAAGGCCACAGCGGGGCAGCCTGCGAGCGGCGTTGAAGCGGCCGCGCGCCCCGAGGCTCGGGCTGCATGTCCCTGGCCTTCGTGCCGCCGCGCCCGCCGCGGCTCCCGCCCCGGTCGTTTTTTTCCTCCGCCTGCGCCTGGAGCCTTCCTGCCTCCGCTTCCTCCCTCGTCCCTCCTCCTCCTCCTCCCCCTCCTCCTCCTCTTCCTCCCTCGTCCCTCCTCCTCCTCCTCCTCCTCCTCCTCCTCCTCCTCCTCCTCCTCCTCTTCCGCCTGCGCCTGGGGCCCTCCTGCCTCGTCCTGCGCCTCCGCTTCGAGCGCACTTTTCTGTTGCGGCGATGGCGGGCGGCTACGGGAGGACGAGGAGAAAGGGGGGGGGACGGAGGGGGGGGGGGCATAACGTAATGCCCCCGCCCCCCACCAAGACAGTGGTGCCAGGCGCACTGCGGCAGTGACGGGGGCGCACTGGGGCGGAAGCGTTACGTTATGGGTGGAGGGGGGCGGAGGAGGGGGAGCAGAACGCGCGTTATCAGAAGGTAAAATTACCTGAAACGTACCCAAACTCTTTTTAACGGGAGGCGAATCTTTGTATGAACGCGCCGCCGAAAAGATCACATCACATCGCCAGATCTGTGACCTGCGCTGCCCTCATCTCCGCCGGACCTCGCATGATGGCCGCAGGCGCGCCGCCCTCCAGCTGCTGGCCGCAGGCGTGCCGCACCTCCACCAGGAACGCTGCGTCCTGGGCGCGGGCCGCCGTCGCCGGGATGCCGCACCTGCGCGCGAGGAAAGGGCAGTCGGAGCTCGCCCTGGCCCGCAACAGCGCGAGGGCAAGCTGACTGTCCAGCCCCGCAGCCCGCAGCTCTCTCAAACGGAGGTACACTCGCCACGGGGACGCCTCCAGGCGGACTACCTCGAACCACCCCTTCTGCCAGCAAGCTGCATTCTGCCCCCTCTCCCCTCCCCCCCTCCCCCTCCCCCTCCCCCATCCGCCTGGGCCAACTCCTGCACCTCCGCTATTTCCTTATCCTCCTCCTTATTATTCTCCTCCTCCTCCTTCTCCTGCTCCTCCTCCTCCTCTGCGCAAGACATTGCGCGCCTAAGATCGTCCGACGAGCAACCGAAGGCAAAGCCGAACGAGTTACGGTACGGGCTCAGTGGCCAGCACTCTGAAAACTCGAGAGGACCCGGCTGCTGTGTGCCGATACTCTCTACGTCTGAGCCTGTCCCAGATCTTCTTGGCCCAGGCAGGAAGACCCCCTGAGCAACTGGAAGAAAGACTGGAGAGGCAAGACGACGAGATGACACCGCAGCGAGAGCAACCAATCAGGACGACATCGCCCTGGAGAGAGAACTTGACCAGAGCATGAGGCCTCTCACCCTTAGCACTGAGGGCCTGGGAAGCTCTGGCAGCACGCGAAACAATGTCCTGGGGAAGGGTCTCCTGCACAAGCTGGAGCTGTGGGGTGGGAGGCTTACCACGCTGGAGCGAGGGGGGTGGGAGGAGTCGGGGAGGTTCTCACCCACCTTGCCCACCCACTTCACCCAGGACTTCAAAACCTTGGTTCTGGAAGCGACGGCAGCAGCTTGCGGCGGCCGCACACGGAAGGCCTGGGCCGCCCACTTGGCGTGGCGGTCGGCCATGTCGTTGCCGAATTTGTCGCGAGTCGTAACGCGACCCGACAGGACATCCGCGCGCGAGGAGTGGGCAGGCACCTCGACAAAACGAACCGCCTCACACAGCTCCGAACCGCCGAAACCCCAATCTTCAAGCCTGGCCCACACCTCGCGCCAGAGAAAACAATGCGTGCCTAGCACCTGAGTGGTGTGCACGCGGCCTCTGGGCAACACTCCGTCGAATACATACTTAGAATCAGTGTGCAAGACGAGGGGCGGACATGCATGCTTGAGACATTCTAGCAGAGCAGTCAACTCCGCCTCGTCGATGGTGGGAAACTCAGAGAAGAGCGGGCCACGCATCAGAGCAGAGACCTCACGGAGGGCGCGGGCGCCTCTGGACAAAGCTACCACAGCCCAGCCCCCAGAGGCCCAGGGTCCCATGCCCCCTTCAAAAATTGAGCCGTCCAAGAAACCCCTCCCGTGAGCCGATCAGGGGGCCCGTGGACCCAGAGCAGAGGAGGGGGGTCAGGAAGACAGGGGCGCTCCAAAATCGGCATCGGTACTAAACATCTCTCGGCGAGCAGCTGCGAGAGACCACCATTGCTGGCAACTCCGCCGAGAGACTGACACAAGACATGTGGCTGTTCAAGCTGCAGTGCGTGCTGCGCGCAACTGCAGTGCCTGCGTGCGAGCGTGCCTAGCTTGGAAGAGCCAGCGGCGAGGCAGGCTATGCAGTTGGGGTCCACAGGGTAGCCAGCTTTCCACTGCCTCGCCATTGGCCACCGGGCTCCAATCGCGACCGAGCGCACATACGAACGGCACTGCGGCAGAGCCTTGGAGCGCAAGAAGGCTAAGATGGGAGCTAGCAGCACACCAGCATGAAACCCGGGTGCTTCGACATGCTCGGCTATCTTCGCACACTGCCAAAATAATACTGCTCGCATCACATGCTGCTTGACTACATACGGGCAGGCCTCAGAAATGTTCAGAACTCGTCCTTCAGGAAAACTCCAGAAATCCGAAGACCGAGCTTGAACTCCAACCCGATGAAGAGAAGCCCAGGGAGCAGCGAAAGGCCCTGCTATGGAGCCCCATGGGTACTGCAAGAGGCTGAGGTGGGCGTCAACTTGCCTGAGACTCGCGTCTAGAACCATACGGGGCATCCATGACTCATACAGACAAAGCAGAAAGAACTTAGTTGGCAACCAAGTGGTCCTGATAATGAGATCGAGGTCCTTGGTGGGCGCCAGCATGAGGGAGAAGGTGAGGCTCTTACCCGCTTGCTTGCGATCCTGAAGCTTGCCTGCTAAGCTGCGTAGTGTGTTGAGCTCCTTGCCATTGACTCCAGTGGCGGCCGCGCCGGA